GCGTGTGCCAGCACCTTGCTGTTAAACTTTGAACAGTTACTTGTATCCTAGTATTATTGTGTTATCTGATTAACTAAGGTACGTGTTTGTTACTTTTACTTCTTTTTAACAAGAACGCGGTTTTTTATTTTTTAACCAGGCAGAAAAGGAACTTGTCATAATACTTTCTGTAAATCTTTGTGTATTATTCACAGTAGTAGATTGTGATGTGATAGTCACATTATTTAAAACGCTGTATAATAATAGATATGTATGCCGTTGCGAACACATGTGGTGGGTAAAACACAATGTTAAAATACTTTCTTGAAAATGTCATTAATAATTAATAATGGGTAATCATTATTCAACAACACAATAAAATAAAAGAAATATACTATATCTAATATCTCAAAAAATTTATCGTCTTTTCTTAATTATCTCACATTTTCCCCGCTCAATATTAGCTAAAGGGTACCGCTAGCATTGTCCGTCCAGTCATGGGGGACAGTGTAAAGATATAATCACAGGTCTATTCACGAAGGATGCCTCGGGGCAACTTCACCTAGTGTCATGGTATACCTTCATAGAAGTACGCCTATGTATATCCTCTAGGTGCACCATGGTGATAGAAAGAGGTGCTGTATCTAAGACTCTCGTGCCCAGAAGAAGTATCATACATGAAATCATCTGTCCCGAGTCTGTCATAAATGAATCTGTCCCGAGTCCCGACAAATTTTAATACCGTCGTATTCGCTCCATTTTACATGACATATGAAAATGTTTAAGAAGAGTTTTCATTTCAATTTCTTTAATTAAACTTATTTTCTTTTCTCAAATATTTTTTTTAGTTTATTTTATTCAAAAGTATTTTTTTAATGTCCGAATAATCCGATGTTACCCTCATAGTTTTTTTGTAAGTTTTTGTATTCGCGTTTCGTATCTTTGTGCCAAACTATTACAAATTGCCTGATTTCTATCTAAACCGTTTAACTTGTACTAAAATAGAATACAAATTAAGCTTGACATTCTGTCTAAAAACTCTAGAATTTTAAGCGAATGAGGGCTTCAGGTTTTTATATACATACTAGACGACGCTAACGACTGCCTCGTTGGCCGAGTGGTCGCAAGTGCGACTGCCGGGCAAGGGGTCTCGGGTTCGATTCCCGGGTCGGACAAAGTATTACTGGGTTTTAAAAAAAATCTCAGTAATAGCACGGAGTCTGGAATTGTGCCCGGTATATGGCAAACGGCTCAGCCCCTATTACATAAATAAATAGTGAAAAGTGGGTGGTACATTATACAGTGGCATAATATGCACCTCTCGGGGATAAAAGGCGTGATGTTATGTACGACGCTAATATGAAGTCATGTTTCTTTGTATTTTAAACAGATAACTGTCCTCAAGTTACAAACAACTGCTAATTTTTTGGGTTTGGGTGAAAAAGAACTTAATATTATGAAAAAATATTTCCTTGGGATCATACGATTTTAAGTAGATCATCACGGACCAAGGACAAGAGCAGATACAAATGCTACACAGGCTTTAAAAAAAGGGTCTTACTTCTAATTTTGTGTATAACGAACGGCTATCGCTTCACAAGAACCAGCAGTACCTAACACGTTAAATGTAATGTAATTAAAGAATGTAATAAATGTGAACATTTAACAGTAATTAATTTTAGCCGAGACATGGCTGAGAGGCTTGTAATTACAAGCTCCGGGTACAAACGACGCTTCAACAGCTACCAAGTGAGATTAAACAGAGGGCTTAGTACAAGTTTCTTTTACGATTAAAGTAATCGTAACGAGTACGCGTTCGGCGCTGTGATTGGTTGGTTCATTGGCGCCGGCCAATCAGAGCGCCGAACGCGTACTCGTTTCGAATATTTTAAACGTAAAATAAACTCGTACTAAGGCTTCAGAAAATTGTATCAAATTCGGATCGTTTATTTCAATTACATCGTTCAAACGGCAGAAAGTTGAATAATTACGTGAGCACTTTAATATAAGTTATATATTTTATTGTTCAGTGAGATTGGTGTTTTCCAATTAATTCTTTATTGTGAAAAGTTTAATGGACATTCCTTCGTATTTTGCTGCAACTGCTGCCAGTGCAATTCCAATAGTATTATAATATTATCAGGCACAGCTTCGTTTCAAAAACTAAGATCCAAATTAACATAGCCTTAAGGAAAAGCAAGACAATTGTAAGAAAACGCGTTGCCAAATAGCACGATATCTGTTTGTAATTCTTAGAGCATCTCAAAGCAGTCTTGTCCAATGCCGTACCAGTTTCTAACCAGAACAAACAACGAGTGAATTTTCAAACAAAAACAAACTCCTTTATATTTGTTTGTGGGCCAAAGCAGACTCCTGACAAAACAGAATTCGCATACACTTCGGAAAATCACTTTCAGTAAAAAAATTCTATATAGGATATACGTATTTTGACATGTAAATAACGGTTTAACACTTAAATGAAATCAAATAGGTACCTCATTAAAGTTGAATTAACTACAGACATTAAATTTTAAATCCATTAATACCCATTAAAATTCACAACTTATAAACAACTCAGTACTATACTAAGTACTTATAAAGCAAAGTTTCGAGACAACAATGAAAACTCCAACAAAATAGAGAGGTTTTATCGGAATAATAGGTAAAATTCTCAGGCTTTTAGTGGTAGACTATGTAAGTTAGTTTAAATTGGTGCTTAAATATTGACATAACCAATTGGGTACTTTCTTTAATCAAAAATAAATTATTTCGACTGTTCAAAACAACAAAATATTAAGAAACTAGGTTTTACCCGCGGCTTCGCTCGCGTCACAAAAGAATAAAAAGTAGCCTGTGTGACATATACCAATACACACAGCGCCATCTATACCAATACTTTTGTTTTTCCCGGGAATATCAATTTTTTCCGGGTTAAAAAGTACCCTATTATTTAATCCGGACTTCTAACTTTACGTCTTCAAAAATTCAAAGCAATCGGTTGAGTAGTTATGGCGTGAAGGTGGAACAAACAAACAAACAAACAAACTCACTTTCAGATTTATAATATTAGTAAGGATAATCATACTATAATTGATTTTATGACCAACTTAATTTTACTATTTTTCCAGCAATTTTTTAAGAAATAAGTATGCTGTTTGACGATGAAAAAGCGTGACGTCACAGTACACAATCTCGTACAAAATTCATAGAAAACTATCGGTTTTGACAGTTCGAAAAAAGTATTCAATTTGACTAGTTGGAAAGTACCCAATTACTGGCGTCTGATTATTGACAGCTACCATTGCATTATAACGGTGTCAGTGTTGGGACAATGTTTGTTCACCGACCAATTTCGGTAAGACGTGGAACAATGGACGCGTGACCGGCGACGACCAGCTGATTGCCATCAAATGCTCATTGCTCGCTAAACATGGACAGTCGGAGAAACAAACGGTACTATTATCTAGCATATGAATAAATTTTAGTCCGTAAGCTCGGATAAGCCCACGGTATGCCCAGCAACCGACAAGTCACGAACATCAATGATATCACCAAGATAATGGTGCGCTTGCACATGAAATAGTTCCTGTTTTATTGGACTGATTGTGAAAATGATATACCGGTTTCCTATCTCCTTAGTTTGTGGTGTAAATAAATGTAGAGTATAGAGGTATACAAAAATTTAATATTTCTTATTACATTTTATTAATATTCCTCATTTTAAAGAAATATTAAGTATATCCAAAAATAAAACAAGAATGATCCACTACAAATAGTCTTAACTATATTCATAAAAATATAAAAGTATTCACGTACGCCATCTAACGGAACTACAGCCTAACTAAAGCCTTGTAAAACATTATCGCTCTGCGCACGCGACTGTACGCAGTGCTCATAATAGTGGAACATCTTCCTAGAGGGCGCCACCAAACATTTTGAGAGAATTTATTTAAAAGTTGTTGATGCATAAACATGTAATTGGACATAGTTTGTTTTTTTTCAGAATTAAATTAATGTTTAATCGGATAATAAGAATAGTTTCGACCTAGAACATAAAGGAACACTATTCTACTTAAACTTAATAAATATGTAGCGTCTCTAGCATACATGGCCTGCATAATTACATACACAGATTATTATATTCCATACAGCCTTGGCACCGATCACACTTATTCTAGAAATAATTCTAATTGCATGCACGTTACGCCCGCTGTTTTCAGCTAAGCTTGCTCAGGCGCATGTCAAGTGCATGTCACATTATATTACGTACCTTGCTCTCGCACGACGCATGGCAAACATATTTGCACACTGAAACAAATATAAAATAATTAGCACAATTATTATTTTTGCATTATTAATAAGTAAGAACTTACGAAAATAATGAAGGACTTGAAGTAGCGGACGTTACTTACTTCAAGTAACGTTCGCTATTATTTACAAAGTAATTTTTAGTAATTTTTATTTATTTACAAAGTAATTTATTATAATTATTTATAAAATTGTAAGGCGCTACAAAATTATACTGAAGTTACCTATCAATTTTAAATTTACACACAAAATAGTTCTTTCATAGTTTCCTTTATCATAATAATAACAATTTGAAATTGTAATTGACGTTTAGTTCGGACATATTACACTTGCAAATTGGATGCGAATCAGTTAAATCGTTTTCAGCGGTATTTATTACCGCCATTACCCGAAATTACCAATTATGGGGTCGATATGAATAATTTCATTATATCTGATTGCGTTATAGGTTCATTAGTTACACATAAAGTTTTGTAAAATGTTATAACAACGAGCAAATGTTCTCTGCGAGAGCAAATAACAAACACTCTGTATGCAGAAGTCGTTCACAAAAATATTCTAGGGTCGTTAACCGTGATATTTGCAGCTATAAAAATACGTACATAAAATTTCGCAATTTGTGTGTGTATCGATCGACATGCAATTGATTTAAGCGTGACATTCCGAGTCAAAACACTCCTCTTGAAGTCGTCAATGACCTTTGATATTGAATGTCAAGCGGTGTTGCAGGAAATGTTAGAATCGCAAGTCTCTACAAACATAAAAATCGGTCAAGATTAAATACTTTCAAATATTTCAATTGCAAACGTAGGATGAATACTAGCTGCAGTGTGAATAGAATGTAGATAGTTATTAGTCAGTCATTCTCGTTTCTAATCGCCTACCTTGTTCACAAATCTGAATTTCAAAGCCTGATACATTTATTTTCAGCTGAATTTTGTTCACTTGTGGACATCATTCCACCAATATTAAGACATTTTCAGTTGCAATAACTTTCCGAATATTTTACCAACATATCTCATTGTTATCATCATCACGACCTGGAAACTGTATCTTATTAAACAATATCTTCGATTGTATACTAACATGTTCACCCAAAACATTATTTGAAGTTTCATTATGTAGGTTCTATCTAATTAAAGAGTATAGACGTACCTCTGCAGCACGAGCCAGTGTTGTGAACGGGCTGATGACACCAGTGACATGGTCGTGGCTTCTTGAACGACTTGCTCCGGAACGCATGTGCCTGACCCACGCCCTCCTTCTGTAGACAATTGAGATAAGTATAATTATAAAATACTGAAGAAATAGGTCAAAATGTCATTGAAATTCTTGTGATAACTTTTTGAGTCTAATTACAGATAGGTAAATGGTGTTCAAAGAATTCTAACCATCATTTATGAGCACAAAGTATGCGATGAGAATTCTAGAGGTATGTTATTGTTCCGCAGACTAACAGGAACCGATGTGTTCAGAACAACAAGACTAGGGACGTTTAACACTAGCTCGTGAAATGACAATCCTTTGTCGATAGTGCAAGCTCCCACGACGCATGCCGGCGGATATTTACGATGGGACAGAGTCGTGCCGGCCAGCCCTTACCTGCCCGGCACTGCCCGGCGCCCGAGCTCGCCCTTCGTTAGCTGTCAGACAATAGATGAGAGGCACGCTAGCCCATTCAACAACACTGATACAAGATACGTGCCCTATTACAAGATACATTTTCGTGCCCCGTTGTTATGAAGCGCTATTATTCTCTCACAGTTAACTAACCTTAACTCCTTAATTTAATGTAGTTTGTAGTCAGTTCTGCAGACCTCGCTTTCATAGCTTTCCTACCGTTTTATTTATGATTCTAAGCAAGTCATTCAAACCAAAGTAAAGGGATTTTCTCTATTTACCAACCCAACACCGACCGCTGTCGCTGACAGGACAATGCGTGAGTAAATAATTAGTTTCTATTCAATCTATCTCGAATACGATACTTGTCGTTTGTTTGCAATTTGCATTCAATAATACGAGTGGGCCATGATCTTTATCTAAAGCCCTGACATGTTTTACACTCGTTAGCAAATTGTAACTGACAGCTGTAAATCAGATCTCATTTTATCTAGACACTGGCTACGGGTAAAGGAAATCAGTTATATTGGTTGAGTCATGCCCATATCCATTTACAAGGTTTCTAATAAATAAATTTAAGTAAAAAATTGTTTCATTACACTGAACATCACAACAGAAATCTAAGTCAAATTAGAGATCGATGTTCGCGCGCTATTTATTTGCTTCTACATTGTTCTTTGTATGGGGTCAGAGTATTCTGGATTAGATGACGTCACCAGTGCCTGCGCAGACACCGGCCGGCGCTCCAGGCGCCACATTTGCAGCGCACATGATACATGAACGATATAAGTACTTGAAATCGGTGTGTTTGAAATAAATCACTCCTTTGTGTTATCTGGCGAGCCGCGACTAAGCTACTCTCGAGGGCTTTTAATGCCTGCTACTGTGCCGGTAGTGTTTCAAACCATTTTGATTAAGTGTTCATTGTTATTAACCGTTGCTGGAGCCAAAAAAAATGTTTATAAGTAAAGTTCAGTACTCCGGGTACCGCCCACAAATGTGAAATTATAAAATGTTATCTTTGAATGATCATTTTACAAATCCCTTGTTACAGCCTGTACCGGCACACGCACACGTGCGAGTAAAGATGCTTGCACGCATTCATATGTGTCGGCGGACACGTGCGGCTCAAGCACCTGCTTAAATCGCAGCACGCCAAACTATGGCGCAGCCGTCGCAGGCGCACGGTGTTCGACGCCCGCGCATCCCGCGCCAAACGAATCCCGACAAAAAACCAACTCACACAAAAGGTGTCTACAGTATCAGCACAGATTGACAGGAACCTCACAATACGCCATTACACGCGCCCCATTAAATATCTGCATCGAATTTCATTGAACAGCTGGACACAACATTATTGTACACATTCGAAACAACCCAACTATCGAGACAAATGATATCTCCATTTTACGATAACTTTCGAACAGGAACGTATCTAGAATGGAAACTTGCTCCAGTAATAAATAAGATAGGTTTGTAAACTCTGCATGGTCTACAGTAAATAACCACCAAGTACTGTAGGTCTGTCGATACTGTCCGGTGTTACGTTTTGTCTAGAATTCTAGGTTATACTTGTTGAATTACAATGATTACAATGTACGTGAGGCACTTAAATCGTCCTGGATTCTCGGTGTAATGTATTCTTCATAGTAATTCGCTATATCCCCGCGGTAATAGCGCGGCCCGGTAGTTTGGTGGCTCGGCCCCCACACTCAAGGTACCCTCCACACAAAACTACATTAATATTGCGCTGCCATTTGTTTTTATAACAGCAATCTGTATAAATGCCGCATTGCTGATACATTGAAGTAACGAAATGTTGACGGTTTTTGTTTCTTATTCCCAATTCCCAACTTGTAACAACAAACGTTTTTTTGACCTCTCAGAGCTTTGAGTTATTTCTTCCGACGAACTTGTAGCGATCTAAGCCTACGTCTTTTGTATTAAAAAGATAAATAAAAAATGTGGTTGGGGTAGATCCTTTATAATCCTCGCAACGATGCCGATGTAGACATCCGATGTCGCTTTAACTTTTCGGGGTAAAATGTTTTTGTTTTGGCGTTTGATAGCTTGAAGCTTCCCTATGTATGTATGTGTCATTTTGTGAGAGGTAGAAGTAAGTAGAAAGGTGTGTATACTTAGATGAGATGTGAATTAATGATGAAGCTTTATTAGCGAACAAAATTGGGATATATTTACAAATGAAAATGTATGTCTAACTATTAGAAAGTATTGCTACGTACACTTTTCTCTAAACGGTTCATTAATGATGTTGATTTTATGTCTATGAAATTAAAATTAATATTCCTTTTTGTTGGCGGCGCGAACGAACTTTTGACCGGGACATGTGATTGAAGCCGCCGTGCTCTGTGGTTGAAAACAAAGGGCGCAGTGTCGGAATGATAAATCAACTGGACGCCCAGTTCTTTCATATTAAACGTCATTGTTTTGTAATGAATTATAACAACGTATACGCTGATAACCTACCAAAAATGATAGTTAATACGACTGTCGGTTTATTGAATATCAACAAACATGTCCTATTTTAGTATCGGGATTTAAATACTTGTTAGGTAGACAGCCTTTTCTAAACTAGATTAACTAGAAGTATCAAATGCTAAAAGATTTATCCTCAAATTGGACCACTAGTTCAAGAGACAAGCGCATTCCGACAAGAACAAAATCTTCGTCGATATAATATTTGTACAGATTAAAATATAAGTTTGATTAAAGACAGGTTAAACTAACTCGTTTTGTATACTGTTATCTCTGATACAAATGCGGCACACCTCATTAAGCATTAACTGTTCTCCGAAGATTGTAAACAAGAATTATTGCATTGATGGAATGCTAAGATTCGACGTTATAACGAACCATGACTATTTGACTAATTTAAATAGGTACCTACAGTAGTATGTGTACAATGCACGGACAATATATTACGTATATAAAAAGTAGGGTAACTGCAGACATGGATTAAAGAAGACTGTTCTTTTGGAAGAGATAAAAGGTAAGTTGGTTCTGATAACAAAGTTATTGCCGCACAAACTACAGCGATGCTCCAATTTCATAGTTATCTGTTTGCTGTAGCTCCGGCGAAACTTTCGTAAGCTGCGCACGTGCTAACACTCTTGTCAAATTAAACCCATAAACTGGACTATTTATATGACTGTATGCACCATGCCGGGAACTCGACACGCAAGGAAGGCGAATGAATGAAACCATTACAACTTTTCCGCTTATATTCGACGAATATCAATAATATTTGGGCAAGCCGCCATCTGCCATCTGTTACGACGAGCGGTGCTTTCTCAAGGACTTTGTACGTGACATCCGTTTAATATCGAGGCGTTATAAGCCATACAAAATTGTCTCACGCGCTGTACAACTCGCCACGACCCGGTAATGCCCGGCAGTGCCCGCGAGTGCCCGACGATGCCCGACGATACCCACGTCGGCACTTGGCACCAGCTACTGTCACCAGCATTAACATACTGTTTCTGAGTACTTACTTATGTACATTAATTCCAAGTTCGTGAACAAAATACTGTATGCGTTTAATCGATTAGAAAACCATTAAATTGTAAAACCGGAAAATGACGTCATTGAATGTCAATATCGAACGCAAAATTAATGGGTTGAGGAAGTGATAAAATATCGATAAATATAATATAAGTTAGGTAAAATACTTATTGACGAAACAGTTGCAAAAATAGCAATATTTGCAAAAAATAAATCAGTAGGAAGATAATTTTTTTTTCAGCCATGATCGTCCCACCCACTGCAGGGCAAAGGCCTCAATAATAGCTACCTAAAAAAATTTGACATTAAACTGAATTCAGAATATTCATTTAACAAAATACAATTATAAATAGGATACCTAGGTATTTGACGACTTAATTCGCACCAATTCAATGACACGTTTATAATGATAACAATAAGTAATCACGTATTATTTTTAAAAGTCATTTTTAATGTGCAACCTTTATTTTTATGACTTAATGTATGTAGGTAATGCCTTATCTTCATGATTTACGTATAATATAGCTATTTATAGGTAGTTATGTAGTGTAGCGCGTGTTCTGCGGCGCTGATAAAAAAGTAATAAATACCACACCATGTTTTTATACAGCCGAGGCAAAGGTAATTTAGGTATACAGCCAATGAGTTTCAAGGAGACAAATCGCTATTACAATTGGTTTTAAACTATAACTCTAGGCGGTTTAAACAATAGTTTGCCGCAGCTCGGTCACTGACTTTAATTAATTACGACTACCAATTAAAATACGACGGGGCCCTTAGAAACATTTGTAAAGCATTCCAAACAAAATTCCTTTCCATTGTTGTTATTGTAATGATATATTTTTCTAAGCTATTTTGGGTATAGTACTACGAAATCTTTAGGTATGTAGACTAAATAGTTACTTAAGTACATACAAAATTGTATTGTTAACAACATTCAATGTAAATAGTCGGCTATTAAATTGGCATTGTCACATAAATCACTGTCAACTTCAGTCCTAATTAGTATAATCCAAGCTAAAATCAGTCCTAATGATTATTTATTGTTAGGCTCTAGTCGGCCCAACTACGAGTAGCGGCAGAATATTAACTCCGTTCAACTACGTAACTGCTCACGCAAGTATACGGTAATTTCGTCACTCTCAACAAGAGCAGAGTGGCGCAGTGGAAGCGTGCTGGGCCCATAACCCAGAGGTCCGTGGATCGAAACCACGCTCTGCTAGAAAGCACTTTTTGCTACCTTAAATGATTTTTACAACAAAATTAAATATAGGTAATTGCATTGATTTTTAATGAAATTTACTCAATCTTACTGTCCTAACAAATGTTTTAAGTAATTATTTGAAACTAAAGCTTGCGTGACTAGTATAGATAACGCAACGTTATTTTAAATGATTGCATGAGGCAACAGACCGGTTATAAACTAATATTGTCTTCTTCACCCCAGTGAGCGATGATGATGACCGGCACACCCTATGTTACGGTAATATAAGGGATAGCCCCTTACCTATCGCAGGGGTGGCTAAGTAATGTTTCACGGCAAAGGTAAACTGACTTACGCAACTTCATGGTTCTCGATT